TGGCCAAACTCTAAACAGAAAGCTAGGCTTCTTCGAACCTTCCAGGACCTGCCTAAGACTAGGACTGACCTTGGAAGCCACACCTCTCATTGAAGTGTCATCTCGTGCTGTGTATGTATTGTTCAACAACTGTACGGCCAAAGATATCAACATTCCCAAAGCCAGTCACCTGGGATGGCTCATCAACCAGGCGTTCCACGACTTTGAGCTAACGGTACCTGTCATAGGCCCCATACCAGTCCAACTAATGTCAGATGAATATGATGACAAGACCCAATGAAACCATTGCCATCACTTCTATTCTGCCAGTGCCCAGAGAAAGCGCCTGCCGATCAGAAATAACAGATGACACTCACCTCAGGGTCTACGCTGTCTCAACACAGTCCGCGACAGAATCACCTGCACAGGTGACCGTCAAGGCCCAGAGCCCGTCAAATGACTCAACAACAGAGGAACCCTACACCGGAACCCTACACCGGGTTCGGCGCACAAATCCAACAGATCCTGAGTGAGGCGGATGCCCTCCACAAGGAAGCAGACCGCCAAGGACTCAAAGAGGTTCTGTACAAGTACAAGGACTCCTTCGCAAAGGACTCCCTGGACTGTGGACTGACCAACATCCACAGTGTGCGCATTCCGACAAGCCCAAATGCACCACCCACATTTGTGCGACAGTACAAGATTCCAATAGCGTCATATGAGCCAGTGCAAGAAATTGTTGACTCCATGCTGGAAAAGGGGGTCATCCGGCCCTGTAACAGCACATACTCTGCTCCGATATGGCCAGTCATGAAACCCAACGGCAAATGGCGGCCCACTATCGACTATCGCAAGTTGAACCAGCAAGTACCCTTGTCACGATGGCCAATGACCCAGTTGGACCAAGAGATTCCCAAAATCAAAGGCTCAACGATCCTTTCCACAATGGACGTCGCCTCGGGATTTTGGACAATCCCCGTCCACCCTGATGACCAACACAAGCTGGCATTCACCTTTGCCAATCGACAATACACCTTCACATGGTGTCCCTTTGGCTATGCCAACTCACCAGCTGAATTTAACATCTTCCTGAACAAAGCATGCCCTGATGCCAGAACCAGAGGCAACCTCGTTTACGTGGATGATGTGCTGTTGAAAAGCTCAAATGTGGCAGACCACCTCAAAGAAATCGATCACGTCCTGAACCAGCTGACAACAGCAGGAGCAAAGATCGCCCTCCACAAAGGACAATGGTGCAAAACCAAAGTTAAATACGTCGGTCTGTTAATTGGACAAGACGGTATCGAATCACAGTCCAGTCGCACCCAAGCAATCCAAAACATAAAGACACCCACTAACATTTCTGAGCTACGAAGCTTTCTGGGAGTGTGCAATTATTCAAGACAGTTCATTGAAAACTATGCTGACATCGCATGACCACTAACCTCCCTCCTGAGAAAGAACGAACCCTTTGTTTGGTCGGAAGCCCAGGACACAGCTATGAGCGAGCTCAAACAATTTCTGTGCTCTGCCCAATGCCTGGTCTACCCAGACCCAGGAAAGGAATTCTATCTGGATGCTGGATTCTCCAATCACTACCTCAGTGCAGGCCTGTACCAGCTCCATGACAAAGACAAGCAAGTGGTCGCTTATGCCAGCAAAACACTGCTTCCCCCAGAATGCAAATACTCAGACTGCGAAAAAGCTTTGCTTTGCACTGTGTGGGCCATCCAGCGTTTCTCCAACTACATTGGAGCTCAGAAGGTTATCATTGAAACCTGTCACCAGCCAGTAACCTTCCTCAACAGCCAACGAATCAGAGATGGCGTGGTAACCAACGCACGCATAGCTACTTGGCTAATGATGCTCCAAGGACGGGACGCCGAGGCAAGATATGCCCAAAACCAAAGATAATCCCTAGGAAACAGGCTAGCAGCCTGCCAGAACTGTTCAACGGACACGCTGCACACAGCAGCAGAACCCAAAGAACCGTTACCACCACAACTGACAAACCACAGGTACTTCGAGGAGAATGTGTGCGAAGGGATGCCCACAGCATATGTCGATGGCTGCTCCTACAATCAACAGGGCAACTTGAAAGCTGGAGCGGGAGTGGTCTGGCTCAACAATGCCCCTTGCCCGCCGCAACAACTCAAATTAGGCCCTCACTCATCGCAATACGCAGAAATAGCGGCCATCCTCATCACCCTACAATTTGCTGCATCCCACAACATCAAAGAACTCCTCATCTGTACCGACTCGAACTATGCCCGTCTAAGCTTCACATGCCATCTAGCTGGATGGAAACAGAATGGATTCAAGACGGCTAACAACAAGCCTGTCAAACATCAGGAACTCTTCCAAGCATGCGAAGCCATTGTCACTGAACATGACATGATCGTTTATTGGAAAAAGGTCCGAGGCCGTCACTGAACATGACATGATTGTTTATTGGAAAAAGGTCCGAGGCCACTCACGTCAACCAGGACAAAGATCAAAAGACAAAGACAAATATCTCAATGACCAAACTGATGCCCACGCCAAAGCAGGTGCATTACACGGAGAGTCCTGGACATTTCCTGCCCTCACACCCACCCAATCAGTGGCTTCCATAACCCGCTGCCAGCACGCCACTGGCGCGCAAAACCCTGCCTCCTCCCACGTTGAACTCTCACCTCAATTCGCCGCTGATGATCTCCTCACCCTCCAAGCTTCGGATCCGACACTGCAAACTATTGCAGCTCACCTTTCAGACCCATTAACTCATCCCATTCCCACCTCCAACCTAGCCACTTCCTATGACCTCCGCACGCTCAACTCTATCAAGCACATGCTGCATCTCAAAGACGGCGTCCTCACATATGTCCCTGAGCCCCTCACTGCGCCAAAGCTCGTAGTCCCTCAGGGCCAAAGGGGGATGATGCTGACACACGCCCACGTTTCACCATGCGCTGGACACCATGGCACCAAGGCCACCTATAAAATGCTCAAGCAAGTAGCATACTGGCCTGGCATGCAGCAAGACTTGGCGGAGTACGTAAAAGGGTGCCTAGTGTGTTGCCAGTTCCAGTCGGCAAATCCAAACCACTGAGCACCACTGCAGCGGAGAGGAATGACCTTCCCATGGTCGCACCTCCAAATAGATTGGGTAGGAGCCCTACCACGGTCAATACGGGGTAACAAATACTTCCTCCGATGTTCGCACCGGGAAAATCACCGAGCAAAAGGGGGATGTGTAGGATCTCCTTTGAACAGAACAGCACATTCCTTAGTAGAAGCTAAGGAGTCTCCTCTCAACCATGTGCGAGTCGTAAAACTGAACCGTGGTCAGCTCAGGCACCAATTGTCTCAAATAGTTCCTGTCCCGCTCGGCTTATCTTTGCAAGGAACACAGGAAGAGTGTGATTCACAAAACCACCTCCTGGGTCTGCAAGCACTGAGACAGCAATAACTGACCCCTGCATCTGGACTAATTTAAGCAACAGAACTTCAGTGTTGTCTCGTGACTGGCTTCAGCATAAATAAAAATCTAATAAACAACAGAACAAAGAACGTTGTATCTGGAAATGTTCCAGCGACAGACACTCCTGGACCCCATGACCGTTTAACGCATAAATCGATAATCCGATAAACAGAAAGCGGCAGATTAATAGCTCCATGTCCGAGCGAGAAGAATAGCAGGTCTACACCGCATGACTTTTTGCAACCTCCATTGACCTCTGAACTTTCTCTGTCCTCCCCCTTTCTCTACATTCCAAAAAAACGCGCATTTCTCCTGTCACAGACAAAGGAACATAGAACTTACACAGACAATTCAAAAGACAATCATTTAAAAGTATAAAAGGGTAACTATATTCACAAATAATATGTTCTATGTCTTATATATGCTTGACGTGTTTCCTGTAACGTGTTTCCGGTGCAAGTTCAACCAATGTTTTATAACCCCTTTTAGTAGATAAGATTATTAATGTGTATGCAAACTACCCGATATTTGAGCTTGAATGAAAGCTTATTTTATGTGCAAAACTTTGGTATGAATGAGAAGTGGGAAATATGTACGATACTCGCATTAAGAAACTTTATAGAAGTATTAATAAAATCTGGCAAGGATGTTCTCATGTGATAAATTGAAGCATCATGTTAATTTATGCATGAAGAAAAACCTTGTGGGGCGTGGCCCCGCCCTGCAGCCAATGTTTGATTGGAACAACGATCTGTGGGACGGACTTATGCAGTGTGATCAAAAACCCAATGTCCGAACAGATTCAATGCCTTTTCGCCTTTGTGTTAATCGCGCTCCAATTTGCGCACACACGCTGCACCATCAAGCGATCGCGTCATCCAGAACTCAAACATTTCGTTGAAACTTCGTGACTGCCAGAGATCTTCAAAAGCCTAAAGTCTTGCAAACTCAGACTCTTTCAGAAGAACTGCCAAAGCCTCTGCGTCACAAGGAAACCCCATTCATCACCAAGCTCTCCCAAAAGACGTCAGCCGAACGACCAATCAGCAACGCGGTAATTTCCCCTCTGCTGGAGATGAGCCAACTGGGAAAACCCCTTTCAGCTGTCACCAAAACGCAAGTAAACAAACAAAGCTTCATCTCTTGCTGAACTGGTGCTGAATTGATCTTAAGCAGTAAAGATAAGACAAATCTCTGCTTTGTGATTCTCTCAGGTTGCAAGTTAAAGAACTGTAGCGAATATCTTACCTTTTTGGGACTTCATGCAAACTCCGTTAATCATCATCCTGTGTGTGTGTGTGTATGTGTGTTTGCATTAGTTTAGTTTAATGTAATCTAGATAGCCAATAAATTCCTGTTTCATTATAAGAATCATTGTCTTGTGTCGTGAATTTAAAGTTAAACTTTGCCCAGATCCGGCTACCTAGCTCGTAGCTTATAAATGATCACAAGCATGTATTAACCTTTGGCCAGGGATAGTATACTGATGTTAACGTCTCGCTGGATGAACAGTTGATAAAGTGTAAACTATCAAATTTGGAATCAGTTCAATCAGGTTGATTTTGAATCTTCAGATTCGATTCCCCCTCTGAAAAAGAGCTAAAATAAAAGAGTTAAATTCCTTACAGAGCTTTCACATGGAGTCAGACCGAGAGATCAAAGACTGTCACTTCCTGTTCCGGCCACACCCTCAGATTGTCACGATGCGGTGGGGATGAAGCACACGGTGCCAGGGTAATCCAGAAGTGAGTCTTTAATTTTCAAACCAAGAGTTAAACAGAAGAACATAGGAGAAAAACAGCACAACGTAACTTCAAAGCAAGACAAGGGAACTGAGAAAAACAGGGTATATAAACACATGGAACGTAATAGGGAGAACTGAAACAGGTGGAGAACTCAATCAACACAGGTGAACAGAATAAACGATGATTAACTAAATGAGAACAGGAACTGAACCAAATAAGGGCAAACAGGAACTAAACAGAAACAAACATGTGACAGCTATCACCCCCCTCCGAAAGGCGCGACCTCACTCCACATAACATCGAGGGGTGGGAGGGTGGGTGCCGTGAAAGGCGGTACCGGATCCGGGTCCCATGGCGGAGCAGACAGTTCAGATTGTCATGTCGGAGCTGGTAGCTCAGGAGGCCATGGCGGAGCAGACAGTTCAGGTTGCCATGGCAGAGCTGGTAGCTCAGGATGCCATGGCGGATCCTCCTTGGCCTTAGCCGGCTCGGCCACGGGTATATGGCCCCCCATTTCTTGGGGAAAACTAGGAATCTTGGGGGGCGCTCTAGAGGAGAGGGCACTTGAGGGTGCTCTGGACGGGATTCAGGGACTGGAGCCCTCCTTGGGCTAAACACGGGGACAGGAGCCCTCACTGGGCTAAACTCGGGAACAGGAGCCCTCCGTGGGCTAAACTCAGGGACTGGAGCCTTCTCTGGGCTAAACTCAGGAACAGGAGCCCTCTGTGGGCTAAACTCGGGATCAGGAGCCCTCCGTGGGCTAAACTCAGGGACTGGAGTCCTCCGTGGCTATACTCGGGAACTGGAGCCCTCCACGGGCTATACGCGGGAACAGGAGGCCACTCTGGGCTGAATTCGGGGACTGGGAAGCGCTTACGAGGAGCTGGCACTGGAGGGTGCTCTCGAGGAGCAGGCACAGCAAGGCGCTTTCGAGGAGCTGACACTGGAGGGTGCTCTGGAGGAGCAGGCACAGCAAGGCGCTTTCGAGGAGCTGGCACTAGAGCGAACTCAGGGGCTGGAGCAGACACTGGAGCGAGCTCTGGGGCTGGAGCCGACACTAACACAACACAGCCACAACAAGCACTGCTCATGGAAACTATCCCGGCTGAGCTCTGCCCACAGAGCTCATCACAAACAAACTTTGACGTATCAGAACAGCTCCAAGACTCAGCACCCAAGGACGACTTTCTGGAAAACAGCCAGGGAAGCCAGGGCAACATATTTCAGCCACCGGAAACACCAGAGCCACAGCTCCACTCACCAGACACATTATCCCTTTCTCCAGCATCTCCACTTCTAAGCTTCTTGCAGAAAATGGAGGAACTAGTTTATGCTGGGACCAAACTCTCCCACTCTTTCACTGCAAGCCCCCAGATATCAACTAAAAAACGGCGGGCCCCACCACCACCAAAGTCTGTGGGCCCAGCTCGTCCTCCTCCTCCAGTGAGAGCTCTCCGGCCGCTGCCACAACGCCAGGGCCCAAACCCTCCATCTGCTGTAGGTGAACCAAAAACAACTGATAACAGCTCTTAGTGATATGTGTCGGGTCCCCGCTATAATAGCAGCAACATTCACAAATGTTTACAGAACAAGCGGGAACCCAGTGTGCCTGTAGTTTTCTCTATTTCTGTTTTATCACGTGATAGAAAGTCTAAGGCCTTCTTAAGCCGTACGGCTGACTTATCTAATCTGCGGCCTGTTATGCATCAAACTAATATTGCTGTTGAGACAAAATGCAATGCCATCAAGTTAGCATTTTTAAACATTCGCTCACTAAAAAAATAAATAATTTCTAATCAATGACTTAATAACCACAAACAACCTGGATTTTATGTTTCTAAACGAAACATGGCTAGAAGACAGCTGTAGTGCAACGGTCCTCAATGAAACAGCCCCTCCTAACTTTACTTTCATGAGTGTTTGCAGGACTGTTAGGAGAGGTGGAGGTGTAGCTGCTCTATTTAAAGATGTCTATCAATGCAAGCAAGTATCATTTGGTCAGTACTTGTCTTTTGAATATCTAGGGATTGTGTTGAAAGGTGCTCCACGCATTCTGTTTATTATTATTTACAGGCCTCCAAAATACTCTCCAGCCTTTGCTGAAGAGTTCACAGAAATGCTATCAATGATTTCCTCAGAGTTTGACTGTTTTGCTATTGCAGGGGATTTTAATATTCACATAGATAATGCAGAAAACAAAACTACAAAAGAAATTTTACAAGCCGAGGTCTCTATACGTTACTGCCGCGTTACATTGCTGACAGAATGCAGAGTTTTATAATCT